ACTAGAAAGCAAGAGAAGGTTTTTAGTTGTTGTTTCCTTTTCTTTTCTTTAAGTTTTGTTGATGGAGAACCCAAGAACCTGTTCTGCTCTTGACCCACAACTGAGTAAACAGTGAAAATATTAGAATAGTTGTTTTATTAACTTTTCCTTTGTGCTCCCCTTTGGGAAAAGCCATCAGGCAAAGTTCCAATAGTAAATAAACATAACAGGATCTAAAGTCATATGTGTTTATAAGTAAATGGATGCTAATGAGGAAATCTTAAAAGTGCTGATCACCAATGGCCAAAGCACTTACTGTTGCAATAAATACAGAAGAAAGCCCCCCTCGCCTCTTCTTAGCTTGTAATGTTCTCCGAGAGCCAAGCCCCAAGCCTGGCAAGCAGTCTTAGCATTAGTTTCCCTCTCTCTTCTTCCTTAGGCTAACAGACATTCTTAAGTTACACAGTTCAGGATTCTGCTAAAGATAAGCTCCTAGCATGGCTCACTGGACCTCTAGGATGTTGTCTGGACACAATACTGAACCAGGTTCCAACAGAAAGAACTTTTGTAACACAAAACAGAACAACAAAAACATCAACAGCAATCGAGTCCTATATAAACCCTAAAACGGTCATTACTGCTCTAAGCCAAGAAATAGGTGCTTTCTTTTGAATAATGATGTTTAAAGCCATGCCACCCATACAGGGTGGTCTTCCCATCCTTTGCAGGAGCGCCTCCAGAAGGATCACAGAACTTCTTTGTGATTTGTAGACAGTAAGATCTTCACTCAGCTCTATGGGAGAGCCCAGATTTTTCTGCATATGGATGAGGCCCATATCACAAAACAGATCCGTTCTCTGTCTCTCTCTCCCACTTTCTCTCCCTCTCCTTTCTCTCTCTCTTCAGAGGCCCAGGAGGAAATGACTGTGTAGAATTTTAAATCAGAAACCCAAAGCTTAAGTTAGTAGTGTCAGGTTAAAGGCTCGCCCATTCTCCAAAGCTAATTCAGTTCTGAACAGTCCCCGGGGTGTCTAGCTGAACAGAAGGAGCAAGGAAACCTTAGCAGCCCAGAGCCCAGCCGGGGGAATTGCTAGGACTCCGTGCCAGGGGTGGAGGCTCACCCCAGGCTTGGTATCAGATCATTCCAAGCCCTGTCTGGATTTCCAGGACTGAGCCACTCAAGGTGGAACTTCCAGCGTCCCTGGAGTCTGTGCTCTCCAGTGGGAGGGTGGTGGGCTTTGTGCAGTAAGACTGTCCCTGACTAGTGATATATTTAATAAAGGAGAAATGGACTCAATGAATACAAAGAATAACATACCTTAGGCTTTAGCAACTTTCCATCACATTGTTGGGGGGAATGTGTGCAAAGGGGGGGTGGTGAGCATCAAGTCTTCTATAAATTGAGATTACACAACTTTCTTATTTAAATATTGCAGGGTTTCATGTTTACCAGTTCTACAGATTCTTTAACACATCAGTAGTGGCATCACTTTGGTATTTACTAGAAAGGGCTTTGGGGCCTTAATTTATCCTAGCTCATTGCCCTTTTACCCCCTTTTCTACCCATCTTCTTAGGGTCCTCTTTCTCTACCCCAACATCACACCCATCATCCTTTTATTTTTTTCCAGGATTGATTTTTAAATTGGCCCCTACAGAAACTTAAGCCCCTGGGTTGACTTCTATCTGGCAACTTTAATCCCCAACCTTAACTATAGTTGAACTTTACTACAGTTTCTTCAGGGGGAAAGAAGCCCCCTCTTCACCTCAACAGTTCAGTGTAAAAACGAAGACTTAGGTCTGCAGTTATATTCTAAGTTATATTCCCCATTAAACAGAAAACGAACCCTAATTTAGACCCGCGTCAATATTTATGACATCTCCACACCACTTTGCAAGTTTCACCAAAGCCTCACTCAGCATTTAACCCATCCCAGCTCACTGGGGCTGACTTGCAAAATAACACTCTTTGCCAGAAAATCTGCTGTTGGGCCAAATGCAAATTGCTTGTAAAACATGTGTACACCGGGGTTTCAGACAGACATCGCACATCCACCAAAAAAAAAAAAAAACCCAAACCAAACCAAACAGCCTTCACTGAGAAGGTAAATGGAAAAGCTTCACAAATTAAGACTTCCCTTTTCAAAAACAAAACAAAAACCAGGAAGGACAAAACCGTGCTTCCAAAGGTAAATGGCTTCTGACTTTAAAGTAAAAGTGTCTGTCTGTGTCGGAGAGGGCGGCGATCAGACACACGGAGGTGTGCTCGGGTGCCTGGGTCTATATCTGTGCGTGTTTTCCGGTTAGGTGGAGGGCAGCGGCCCCCGCGCGGGCCCGGGGGGTGGGAGGGCCCCGGGAGGGCCCCCTCCTCCGGGTGACTTCCCCGCCAGGCCGGCAGCCCGCGGGCGAGGCCCACCAGGCCCCGGGAGCTAAAATGGAGCCTGAATTTCCTCCGCGCCAGCGAGGGCAGCCTCCGGAGGTCAGGGTCAAGGTCACGGGCAGGGCAGGCTGCAGCTGCCCGCCCGCGCGGCGCGCCCGGGCCGGGAGGGAAGGCGGTCTGTCCCCGTCACCGCCCGGACAGAGAGATCCCCGCTGCTCTCCCACCCCTCCTCCTACCCGAGCCAATCTTTTATTTAAAAAAGCCGGGCCGGGGTGGGGGTGGGGGGGAAGGGAGAGGAAGGGGGGGGGAGAGAAGAAAGGAAAGTGACCCAATCACCCCGCACACCAGCTCCCCCAAAGTTGCCATCTAAGGGCAAGTTCGCAGGCAACCCCGAAGCCCCGCGGCGGCCCGCGCCCCGATCCCCCCCACCCCACCCTTACACACACACACACACTCGGGCCAGCCGGTCACACCGGGGACCCGTCCGCCCTGCCCCCCCCGCACGCTCCTCCACCAACTGCGGCGACTTCGGCGTGGGTCGCCGCGCGGGGCCCCGGTGGCTCCGCCCCGCCCCGCCCCGCGGCCGCCGGCGGGCGATTTATGTGCACACACACTCGGTACGTCCGTCCAGCTCGACAGATTACACGGGTGACATTACCCTCGGAACCTCTAGCGGGCAGGCGGGGAAAGGCCTGCCCAGGGGCAGGGGTGTTTTTGCTCTAAAGGAAGGGGAAGGAAAAAAAAAACCCAGAAAGCACCACCCCAGCCCTGCGCACCGGGAAGGGGAAGAAAGAGGAATGTGTGCGGAGCGCACGGCCTGCGCCGCCCCGGGGGGGACCCCCCTCCCACCCCCGGGCC